CCCTGCCCCCCATGCCGAATCGATTCCTGCCGGCGGAGCGTTGGAACCCCCTGCTGGGCCCCCTTTTTTGGCCCCTTGCCCCTTTGAACCCCCAGACTGCCCACTCCGCCCCATCTGCCTAGCGGGCTCGCGCACACGGCCATCTGTCCAGGATTTGCCGTCCCGGCACGCCTCTTTGAACCCAGTCCGTCCTCGAGCCGGCGGCCCGGGCCGAGCGGACCGGGCGACATTCTAATCAGCCCAAACGCCCCAGCTATTGCGCGCCAGCGCGGCGGGAGCTCCGACGACGATTACGAGGAAAGGTTTTCTCCGAGTCCCCCCCAAAACAGACTGCGGGAATGCTGTCGGGGAAGCTGCGGCGGAGGACATTCCCGTGCGAACCGGGATCCGGGGGCGCCCTGACCATCCGGCTCAGGGACCGCCCGGAGCCTCCTCAATAGACACCAAGGAAACCTCCCGGTCTGTACCGTCTGCTGTTGACATCGGGGGCGCCTGCTCCATCCTGTGCGCCCCGTCCCGTCCCGCCCCACCCTGCCTTGCTTGTGTGACGCGGGCGGGCGGTCCCGCCATCCTGGCAGGGTGGAAGGGTGTGGCTTGGCACCACAACCAACACCACGACGCACGTCGTCGTGTTTTTAGCGGGCGTATCGTTAAGAAGGGCCAAGCACGGCACCGCCGAAGCGCCAAACACAAACCTGGGCAGTGCGAGCGCGCACACGAATCTCAATTGAAAAAAAAGAGAGGTGGGGGAAATGAGCAAACTTTGAGTACATCTCAGCCCCTGCTCCTTCCGGGCCGAAGCTCTGTGCATCACTCTTTTCTTTTCGTCTTTTCTCTCTCCCGCCTTCTTGTTGTTTCTTGTTTTTGACTTTTTCCCTCTGCCCGCCCGCCCGTCGGATCGGGCCGGAGCCCAACTGCAGCCCACCCCCTCCTCCATACCGTCGAACCAGGGCCGCGTTCTCGCGCTTCCACCTTTGCGCCTGATGGCTTGTTTGTAGTCCTGTGCGGACCCCAAGGTGCTTCCCCTCCCCCAATTCCACCTCTCCGGAGGAAAAGGAAGAAAGTCGTTGGTCGTCCTGCCCGACCAGGGCCAGTGCAA